TCGACTTGATTGAAAACATGTATGTTTATTCTGTGGGTTTTGGATGTATTTTACAGATTTTCTGGTGAACTATACCTAAAGTTTGTATGTGTCTTTGAGATGTCACTTATATGAATTCATGCCTTCTTGTTAATTATTGAGGATCAAAATTTTCAATGGCCGAGTCTTTGAGAAGTCAGTTATATGATGTATATGCCAAAAGGATGTCTTGCTTGTGGAGTGCACTAAATTGCTGTGTGATAGATCATACAAGTAATGTTAAGTTCTACATGAGGTTCTCTGTTTCTTCAATTTTTTTGCTTATTGTTCTGATATGCTAATCTGTTTTAGTTGTTTCATACGACTTTGACACAGTCATGATAAACTTTTTTAAGTCCTATAGTTACCAATAGTCATCTAAATTCTCCTCCATAAGAATCATAAACTGACACACACTGCAGCTGAGGATGTACATCTGGCTACCAGCTTAGATAAGAACCTGCAGCTGTGTTCACTTTAGTTACTTGTTTTCTGCAAATATACATGATCATTCTCTATGAATGAATGATTGGTGAAACATCCTTCAGTTTCTCCATTCATATGATCCATCTTTCTGGAGCAAACACCTCTCCATTGTATATGAACTGGTATAAGACCTATGTACAAATCTTCATGAGCTAAATAAATCTTTGCATCTCCATTTCTTCATGAGAATCATTCTATCTGACAAGTTCTTGTTGATTTATGTACCGTATATACCTGTATGGTAAGACTGCAAGAAGAACATATTGATGACTAACATTATTCCAATATATGACAGTTTAACAATACAAAATGAATCATCAACACCTAGCAGCATTTTCATGTGAGTTTCTCGATATGGGAATAAATACAATAGTCAATGACTACAATTTGGTAGCATGTTGGCAATTGCTCCATGAACGTATTACACAAGTTTAGACCGTTTGACATTCACATCCAAATCAACTTCCACGATTAAGGATGATAAAAGTGTACATTCGATACACTAAAGAATCAGTATCTTGACAGTACATCACTGGAATCACATTGTTTGATCCTTCTGGATGTCAAACTATAACTTTGAAAGAGATCAGCAACTTGCAGTGCCACTGGTAACAAGTTCAAATTCGGTACATTGACCAAACAGTGTTGAATAGATCAATTCTCATTGTGAGAAAAAAAATCAAAGCCAAGTGATGGAGAGAGCTAACCAAGTTGTCAAAAGCATGCTTAACCAGTATATCAATAACAGTTCTTGTCTATGTTGTCAAAAGCATGCTTAACCAGTATATCAATAACAGTTTGAGCCCTGAGAAAACCAAAGGCATGATATCAGTGCACAACTTTGAATGCTTGTATAGAAGCAATAAACACATAAACAGTGTATCATGTGATATACATGAACAAACAGTATTTTCCATACAAACAAAGCTACTGCTCCAACCACGAGATCATAGTCGAATCCATTGGGGTGTCATCGAACTTCATGAGGGCTTCAATCTCTTGCAGCAAGCCGTCGTCGTCGTCTATGTTCTCCGTCTGCGCACACCAAACCGTGGAATGTTCTCGGCAGCGATCGACAGGAGGCTTATTTCTTTGCGGAGCGCAAGCCCAAGAAGAGCGGCGGCTCGCACGTGGATCGGAAGGCCGGTACCGGTTCTTGGACTCGGAACAAAAAGCAAGAACCCGTAAAGTCCATCGTCAACTGGCGCGAGATGGAGGTTGGACGAAAGAGCTTCCTTTCCTTCAACGACGGCCGGCGGAGGAACTCCGGGTGGACGATGTACGAATACGAGATATGTTCTTCCGGCGGCTTCGAGAGACGAGTTCTCTGTCACGTCAAGAGAAGCTCGCATCAGGCTAACTCCAGCGGCACCACCATAAAAACAGTTGAGTCCACCTTCACGGAGGCCGCGACAGACACGGTCACCGGCGACAGCTTCGTTGGGCAGAAGAAACAGAGAGGAATCTTCTACTCTCACAGCAAACCACCTCTCTCAAAGAAGCCATGTCGGGGGTTGGTTGCACATTCCCATTCCGACGTCTCACCACCTCCAACCGCGGTGGTGCAACGGCCCTTATTGGCTCCCGTCGTGACACCACCGAAGAGTCATCTTTCCTCGGTCGATTCCGTGGCACCGAACGAAGCCGGAGTCCCAACCGCCTCTCCATCGTCAACGGATGTTGGTGGAAACGAGCTTGAGATAACTGCGGAAGAACTCGAAGCATTCCTCCGAAGGTGCGAGCAGATGGACTGCACCGACGGTCCCTTCTTCACGAGCCTGGAACAGGTCGATGCCTTCTTGATGTCCGATGACACCATCACTACCTCGACTACCATCCCAGGGGCCTCGCTGTCATCCTCAACCGGCCTTGCCGTGGAGCAAATGGAGTGCGTGGACAATGCTGGCTCGACAACCCCGAAAGAGTTGCAAGCCTCCTTGGATGTCTGATGGCACCAGCACTTATTCGACCACGGCCGAAGTGGCAGACGGAGAACATAGATGACGACGACGGCTTGCTGCAAGAGTTCGACGATGACGTCGAAGCCTTTTCGACCGTGGTCGAATCAGACATCAGGCAGGCTTGCAACTCTTTCGGGGTTGTCAAGCGGGCATTGTCCGCGCACTCTATTTGCTCGGCGGCAAGGCCAGTTGAGGATGACAGCGAGGCTCCTGGGATCGTAGTCGAGGCAATGAAGGTGTCATCGGACATCAAGAAGGCATGGACCTCTTCCAGGCTCGAGAAGAAGGGACCGTCGGTGCAGTACATCTGCTCACACACGACGAAGTCGATCGACGACGATGACGAGGAAACCTCTGCGACCGTGGTCGAATCAATCCGAGTGTCATCGGGCATCAAGATAACATCGACGAGCCCTGACGGTGAGGCCTTCGGGATGGTAGTCGAGGCTGTGTCGGTGGCATCGGACATCAAGAGAGCATCAACCTCTCTGGTAAAGAAAGCATCGTCGGTGCAGTGCTGCTCACCGCCAAGATCGACCGACGACGAAGATGAAGCCAAGAATGCTTCGAGTTCCTCCGCAGTTATCACGAGGTTACCTCCACCAACGTCCGTTGTCGATGGAGAGGCGGCTCGGACTCCGGCTTCGTTCGGTGCCACGGAGTCGACCGAGGAAAGACGACTCTCCGGGAGTGTCACGACGGGAGCCAATAAGGGCTGTTGCACCACCGCGGTCGGAGGTGGTGAGACGTCGGACTGCAATGCTCCGATGGAATGTGCAACCAACCCCCGGCAAGGCTTCTTCGGTGCTGCTGATGAGAGTGTAGAAGATTCCTCTCTATTTCTCTTCTGCCCAACGAAACGGCTGCCGCTGGTGACCATCTCCGTCGCAGCCTCTATGAACGTGGACTCAACCTTTTTGATGAAGTTGTCGCCATAGATGGGTTGATGCGAGCTCTTTCTGACTGTGACGGAGAATTCGTCTCTCAGAGGAACAAATCTCGTACTCGTACATCGTACATCGTCCACCCGTAGCTCTCCCAACGGTCCTCGTTGAAGAAAGAAAGCTCTTTCATCCCACCACCATCTTGCACCCGTCGACGATGGACTTAGATGGGTTCTTGTTTTTTGTTTAGAGTCCAAGAATCGATGCCAGCCTTTCAATCTACACACGAGTCGCCGTTGTTTTTGGGCTTGCGCTCCACAAAGAAATAGCTCTCATGTCGATCGCTGTCGAGAAGATTCCACGACTCGGTATCGTAGACGTCGGCAAAGACGACAATGCAACCAGGGAGGGGTGTGCCAACGACCCAGTTGTCAATCCTCTCATTTTGAGGCTTAGTGTGGAGTGAGGAAGGAGGAGCCCTCTTTATATAGGAGAAGATTAGATTTTCCCAAAAAGATAAGTAATAATTTAATTTTTATTTTAAATTTATTTTTTATTTTACTTTTACACAAAGATAACAATATAATATTTATTTATATTTATAAGCAAATCTTTGCTAAGGACAATTTATATGCCCACAGGTTTTGCTAAGGACAAATTTATATGCTCACAGGTTTTGCAAAGGAATTATTATTATTATTATTATTATTATTATTTAATATTGAAATAGATTGGGATCTGTTTTTTATTATTATAATTCAGACTATCCGTAGCAGGGTAGTCTCTACATATCGGTTTACCATCCAAATTGGACGGGTTCCTTCCCACGGAGGAACTCGTGGTCGACTACCTCGCGAACAGGAGGGATTCTTTGTGGAGCGCAAGTTCGAGAAGTGATGGCTCGCGAATGGATCGAAAGGCCGGCACCGGTTCTATCAAAACGGCGAAGTCCACGTTCAAAAAGCAATAATTTGGGTTGAGTCCGTCCCGGCAGCCCATCGCGGCCCAAGAAGAACTGAGCCTCTTAGGTTTTTCGAACCCTAAGGTTACGACTGGGTTCCTCCACTCTGTAAAACAGCAAGAAGTCGGCGAGAAAACTGTCGGCTGCCGCGAGATCGTGGGTGGGGCGAAAGAGCTGACTTTCCTTTAACGACGGCCGGCGAAAGAGGGTGGACGATGGACGAGATGAGATGTGTTCTTCCGGCTTCGACAGACGAGTTATATGAAGATCTTGCATCAGGCCATCTCCGACGGCACCACCATCAAAACAGTTGAGTCCACCTTATAAACCACCATCAAAAAAGTCGGAAGAGCACATCTCATATTCGTACATTGTCCACCCGGAATTCTTCTGCCGGTAGTCGTTGGTTGAAGGAAAGGCTGCTCTTTCACCTCATCATCATCTCGCGCCTGGCGACGGTTTTGTTGACTAGTTCTTGCTTTTTTGTCCAGAGTCTAAGAACCGGTGCCGGCCTTTCGATCCACGCGCGAGCCGTTGCTGTTCTTGGGCTTGCGCTCCGCAAAGAAGTATCAATCCTGTCGATCGCTCGGTCATGTAGACGTCAGCGAAGGCGACAGCGTGGACAGACTTCATGGACGACGGTTGTTTCTTGAAGAGGAGAGGAGAGGAAATGAACGAAGAGGAGGAGAAGGGAGCAGAGAGGCGAGGGGCGAGAAGATAAAGTGCCTTCATCTTCTTTGAATCCCTTCGCCCCGTTCGGTCTTGTTCGACTCAGAAACAAAGATTTCACCTTTGTTTGCATGAATTTTACGGCTGATTTGGAGCTTTCCTTGATGGATTTTAGGTTCGATCTTGAAGATGGAGGTATCTGCGCTGGTGTTGGCTTGTGGCGTGAGGGTGGGAGCTGATGGAAGGTACAAGATTTGGTGTTGTATTGGCAATCCGTTGGCATTGCATTCGGCAGCATGCTTCCGAGGCCAAGTGCTTCACAGTGCCGTCTTCACCAGAGGGTTGGAACTGATGGAACCAATAATAGGTCCCTGTATGCCATCAAGGTCGGACCTTTCCACGACCCCAAGTGATTTCTTTTCGATTCTTACCACACCATCGCTTTGGTAAGTCGAGTTTACTAAGAGTTGAGTTTAATGAGACAGTTAGTTAAATAATGTCTAAATGATTCTTCTATAGTTGATCTATCAGTTAGTTAATGAGACAGTTAATTAGTCGAGATAAATGGTACTAAAAATTGTTCAATAATATTAATTTCAGTTTTGAAAATCCTAATGGTTCTAAACGATCAAATATGAGTCGCAAAAGTGTTTATCAAAGAAATTCTTCAAAGTAGCAGTCTGGATTGATGCATAATGATATTTGAGAAAGTTTCTTTGACATCCATGCAACTTCTTATTAATGTTCTTATTTGGGACTCTCACTACCAACCACAATGAATCATACTTATGTAGATGTTTCTCTAAAATAAAGATCCGGAAGTACACTGTCAAGCTTGGGTAGCTTCTTAGCATATACTTAAAGAGTGAGTTGTGATATTAGCAGATAAATAGGATGGATGGATCACAGCAACACTCATCAATATGAAAGCAGCAGCAAGGCTGCAAAATAAAAGAGGCAAAATCATCACAAAAACCATAGTAAGCGAACTCCATTTCACAAAAAGACATAAATGCAACCAATTTATTTTGCGATCTCATTTTCTTAATGCAGATTTACTGATTAAACTTATTTTCTTTCAATTTAATTTGCCCTGTTTGAGAACCTATTCTGGAAAAAGATTATCCTTTGCCAGACCTTTTGGCATATTTTCCCACTCTTGATTTTATTTCTTGAGAGAATTGATTTTTTCCTTCCAAGCTAAGAATTTGGTTTTCTGCAGTCGATAATCTGGAGATATTACATCTTTTTTAATTGCATTCTTTTGCAGAGAACATAGTGCTGCAACACCCATATAGCCGAATACTTACAAGCAGACAGCTAGAGTGGCCCTCTGTGCATCTTCACTGTAGTGCCAGATTTATTTTGCTGGAGCGTTGTTAGTAACTATCTTATTAAGTAAATGTTTTTATTTCTTTAGATTATTAGTTATCGAATTCATCATGGCAAATCAGAGTTTTGCATTCACTATCTCCCTCACCTCGCAACATGGAACTTGTGATTTGTTTAACATTTCATTCAGTGATGTACTTCCATGTGATGACATGAATTTATGCATCTTCTTTCAGGTTGAGAGATCATTTGACTTATCCGGGGTTCGTAAATTTTTTTTTTTCTCGACTTGATTAAAAACATGTATGTTTATTCTGTGGATTATGGATGTATTTTACAGATTTTCTGGTGAACTAGACCTAAAGTTTGTCTGTCTTTGAGAAGTCACTTATATGAATTCATGCCTTGTTAATTATTGAGGATCAAAATTTTGAATGGCTGAGTCTTTGAGAAGTCAGTTATATGGTGTATATGCGAAAAGGATGTGTTGCTTGTGGAGTACACTAAATTGCTGTGTGATAGATCATACCAAGTAATGTTAAGTTCTACATGAGGTTCTCTGTTTCTTCAATTTTTTAGTTTATTGTTCTGATATCCTCATCAGTTTTAGTTGTTTCATACGACTTTGACACAGTCATCATAAACTTTTTTAAGTTCTATAGTTACCAATAGTCATCCAAAGTCTCCTCCAAAAGTTATCATAAACTTTGATGCACACTGCAACTGAGGATGCACATCTTGCTACCAGCTTAGATAAGAACCTGCAGCTGTGTTCACTTTAGTTACTTGTTTTCTGCAAATATACATGATCATTCTCTATGAATGAATGATTGGTGAAACATCCTTCAGTTTCTCCAATCATATGATGCTTTCATGATCTGTCTTTCTGGAGCAAACATCTCTACAGTGTATATGAACTGGTAAAAGTCCTATGTACTAATCTTCATGAGCTAAATAATTCTTTGCATCTCCATCCTTCCAGCGATCTGATCTTTGACTAATAATTTCTTCATGAGAATCATTCTATCTGACAAGTTCTTGTTGATTTTTGTACCGTATATACCTGTATGGTAAGACTGCAAGAAGAACATATTGATGACTAACATTATTCCAATATATGACAGTTTAACAATACAAAATGAATCATCAACACCTAGCAGCATTTTCATGTGAGTTTCTCGATATGGGAATAAATACAATAGTCAATGACTAAAATTTTGTAGGATGTTGGCAATTACTCCATGAACGTATTACACCGAGTTTAGACCGTTTTACATTCACAACCAAATCAACTTCCCCGATTAAGGATGATAAAAGTGTACATTCGAAACACTAAAGAACCATTATCTTGGTAGTACATCACTGGAATCACATTGTTTGATCCTTCTGGATGTCCAACTATAACTGTGAAAGAGATCAGCAACTTGCAGTGCCATTGGTAACAAGTTCAAATTCGGTACATTGACCGAACAGTGTTGAATAGATCAATTCTCATTGTGAGAAAAAAAAATCAAAGCCAAGTGATGGAGAGAGCTAACCAAGCCACTGTTCAGCACGGCGTTCACCACCACCTCCGACAGCATGACGGATGCTAATCTTCTCACGTGCATACTTCTCCTGAAGATATTCAAATGCATTCATGTCAAGTTTACCGGTCACGGACTTCCCTTGTTTTCTTCTGATATGTTGTTCCCTAATTGAAGCCCATAGCTTCTCAATCGCATCTCTTTGTCGAGCCGTGAACTTGTCTATGTTGTCAAAAGCATGCTTAACCAGTATATCAATAACAGTTTGAGCCCTGAGAAAACCAAAGGCATGACATCAGTGACATCAGTGCACAATGTTGAATGCTTGTATAGAAGCAATAAACGCATAAACAGTGTATCATGTGACAAATTTCGATGATCTTACCATGGCACTTTATAACGACGTGCAGCTATTTCCAAACATAATAGTAAAACCTCTCTTTGAGATTTGATAAATCTCTTAGGTTCTTCTGCTTCTTCTTCCTTTTGGTTTGAAGTTGTCACATCCTTTCCTCTCGCTCTTTCATCTTTCTTGGATTTGCTTGGAAGCAAAACATCTAACCCAAATGGATCAGAAACATGGATCTTCGTTTCGGACAAAGTAGCTGATGTAGTAGTACCCAGTTCAGCAGTGTCTTTGCCTACTGCTTTGTTTTCAGCTAGTGCCAGTGCTGCAGCTTCTTCTTTGTCATCATCTACTGTAGCATGAGGGAGGCTAGATATTGCATCTTTGATCTTTCCTGCTGCTTTTGAGTACTAAAGAATAACAATTGTCAGTTACAAAGTAGGTACAAAAACTAAAAAGAAAAAGATTGCTATAACAATTCATTATGTTTATACTATATCATCACCAAAACCATTTAATAAACATATCTTGATGTTTATTATCGATATAATTGCAAGCATTAAGTTACTGCAATTGTCAGGAAACACATTTCTGCAGGGTTCCAAAGCAAACAATCACTAATTAGTAAAAACATGTTAACATGTTACTGCTAAAAGGTCTAATAGCCCATCAGAAGAATTATATGATATTTTATGAGTTCAAAAATGCATACCACAAAGCTGTCATCAGTATAAAGATCATTTGCAACCACCGCCTGCAAAATCCATGTTGCCAGCTGATTTTTCTGCTGCTTACTGAAACACTGCATTCTCATGAGAAAACCAAGAATAGGTAAGGACAATCTTTTTTCAACAGTATATCAACTGAATCAGAGAGAATGTATTTTGGAACAAGGAAACATTAGGTAGAGTAGAAAAATGGTATTAGAATAAACACAAGATTCCGTCAAAGTTCTGAAGCATCAAAAGCTCTCTACATTCTGTCAAATACTAGTGACATGTTGAAAGCCCGTCCTGCAGATATTACCACAATCAAGCGGATAAATATATGTAAAGACTCTGAAAAGCTAACCTCTGCAACATCTTGAACTGCTGAAAATAAGGCTTGATAATCCATTCTCAGTGAAGCCTCATTACAAACTGATGGCGAAGCCATTGCAGCTTCCAGAATATCAAAAAACTGACTGCTAGTTCCCGACTTGACACTTCCAGCTTGGATTAGTTGCACAGCAAGTTTTGATGCTTTGCTGAACTTTGCAGGATTCTTTATGTGTGATGCTATCTTTTGCATTGCTTCTATAACTTGTGCCTCTGTAGCATCAACACTTGTTCTGAACCTTAGGCGCTTCTGAGGTGCTGCAAAAGTATGTCAAGTTGTTTAGTTTTACAAAATGCAACAAATTGAAATCCTAAAAATAGTCCCAGTGCAAAAGAAGATAATTACCATAACCACAACCATCAAGCCTTAACCCAACTAATTGGGTGGCTTTTAGTGATTCTCATTCATCAATCCTTCCTAGTAAGGCAGCAAAAGAGAATATTACATGAAACTAACCAAATTTTCAAAAAATATCATGTTTCTAGCACAAACGTGGTCTAGTATTCACAAATATTCATAAGACACAACTCAAAATTCCAAGAGACTTCTAGTACCTTAACTTGGATCTGCTTGAGAAGTAACTAAACCATATATAAGAAGAAAGTTAGAAACATATGCTCAGAACCTAGAACATTTTTCTTTGCAAGTAGTATGAAGCTCTATGTGTTTGACCCAAAAAAGCAAGTCACAGTACAGATTTTACTGCAACAGCAACTGCATGAAAAAAATTTACCTAGCTCCATTCGGAGTTATCCAGATGATTCCACTTGGTTTGCTACAAGGAAGCTGCTTAGTCAAGTTCCACAGTCAGTTGAAGATTCTTCATAAAGTACTAAAATAATAAGGGTCCTTATCACTAATATTAAGAAGTTCAAGAGGGGAAAATTAGTAATTTCGGTTAAAATCCTTATTAGTTTCATATCAATTTCAAGCAAAAAGCTGAACTATAATTGTCATATTATATGAGCATATTCCATCTCATCTTTTACAGTCACCACTGCAGACTTTCTTTAAATTGTTCCAATATTTCATTCACAAAAACAAAAATCTCATCCAGCAAGCAGTCAAAAAAAGTAATCAAACATTAATTTAACCACTCAGATACATCTTGCAATACAAGGAATTTTACTTGGATTCTCTTCCTCTTTGAAAGATTGATCAGGCCTAACACCATCTGACATGACGTGGGATCTCATGTCCAGATATCATACCACCGAGGAAGGTCCAACCCACTCAATACAAAATAAGATCTTATGTACGCCCGCTACAATTTTAGCGCAGATGAACTAGCTTGAAAAGGGAGAGGGGAAAAAAGGATGAGAAACAAGGAAATTAAGTCAGAAAGACCAAAGACAAGAGTGAAAACCAGTGAACCGCAGACCTAAAGAAAGCATCAAGTTGGAGGTCATAAAAAAAGTTATGAATACCTCTACCAAAGGAAACCCTACCACGAACCCTAAGGACGCACCAAGAACAATTACAACTAGAATTGGACATAATAAACACAACCAAGTAAGACAAAGAGACGACTCAGACCCACATATAGAAAGGCACATAAAAGATGCTATCTTTATCAAGCAGAATCGCGCACCTGCGTCTTGAGGGTCCGAGGGCTTGTCTCGCTTGAGGGCGCTCTTGAGGATGGGCGCGGGAGCCGGCGGCGGGGGCGAATCCCTCTTGGAAGAGGAGGCCGCAGGCTGCTCCGGGAGCTGCGGCGGGGACGCCGTAGAGGGAGGAGGCAAGCCCTGGAACAGGTCGTCCGCCATTGATAGGGAGATTGGGGGAGAAGCACGCGTGCGAAGCCCTCTATGAAAGCTAGTTTGTTCCTTTCAACATAATAATCCCTGTACTATGCAATATTTTTATACTTTCCTAACATTTTTATATTTACATATAAGTCCCATCCAATATGAGATTTGCGTTTTTATTTTTATTTTACTGTATTAGATGCTTGTATTGTTTTGGATAAATTTTCAAAAAAATCCTAAATTTCATTTTTTTTTCCATAGCAACCCCTTTTTTTTATCTTTATTTATTTTTTATTTTTAAAAAATAAAATAAAATTATTATGGCATTCGTCCTATCGATCATCGCTTATCTCGTCGCCCGATCGATTATTACTTTTGTCCCTCGCCTTCACCCGTTCCGAGGCCTCATCACCTCCACATTGCCCTCTTTTCCCTAACCTCGATGAAGGTGATTGTTAATAGTCATATAAAAAATAGAGATTTTGCTACATCCTAAAATAACCATTATACAATTCTTATTCTCCAACATCTAATGCTTAGCATCGATATGTTCGATCAAAAGACGAGTAAGCATCTTGCTGAGATTTCAACTGGCATACTTCAACTCATCAAGACAAGCAAAGACGATCGAAGGAAGG